ACAGGCCTTCCAGCAGCTCAAGCGGGCCTTGACAGAGGTCCTAGCCCTGGGACTCCCTGATGTTACCAAGCCATTCACTTTGTTCATAGATAAACTCAGGGGCATTGCCAAAGGAGTCCTAGCTCAGGACATTGGCCCTTGGAAGAAGCCTATAGCCTACCTCTCCAAAAGACCTGATCCAGTGACAGGAGTATGGCCCCCTTGCCTAAGAATACTAGCTACTGTGACAGTGTTACTTAAGTAGGCAAAGAAACTCACTTTGGGCAAGTGATTTCTGTGGTAACCTCTCACAATTTAGAGACTCTTATCAAAACCCCTCCTGAAAAAAAAAAAAAAGAGGCTTTCGAACGCCAGAATTCTACACTGTCAAGCCCTGCTTCTAGACCCAGAGTCAGTGATATTCAAGACTTCTTCAGCTTTAAACCCAGCCACCCTTATGCCTGATGATGACCTGGGGGAACAAAGGACACCTCTCCATGAGTGTGCTGACATCCTCGAACTGCAGCAGAACCTACGGGCTGATCTTACCGACCAGCTTTTGGGAAATGCCGACAACTATTTCATCAATGGAAGCAGCTTCATCCAGTACGGCAAACGAGTGGCCGGGGCAGCAGTGACCACCAAAAAGGAGGTACTCTGGGTTAAGTGGGTAGAGCCTGGCACCTCAGCCCAAAAGGCGGGGCTTGTTGCTTTGACTGAGAGGCTAAAACTAGCCACGGGAAGGAGGGTAAACATTTTAACTGACAGTAGATATGCTTTTGCTACTGTAAATGTACATGGAGCCATCTATCAGAGCAAGGTCTCTTAACCTCAGCTGGGACTAAGATTAAAAATGCTCCACAGATTCTAGACTTGCTGGCAGATGTCTGGCTGCCTCAACGAGTTGCTATTATTCATTACAAGGCTCACCAGACAGGAGATGACACTGTCACCTTAGGGAACAGTTTGGCAGATCAAGCCGCTCGAAAAATAGCAACCACATCAGAGGGGCCAACCAAGAAAGTAATTGCTCTGATGCTAGTCCCTCCAACCTTGTCAGAACCAATCTACACAAAAAAGACCTACAGTTAACATCTCAACTTGGAGTAAAGTCCCCTATCCCCGGGGGCTGATACCAGTTACCTGATAAACAAGTACTATTAGTGGAGGCACTAGGGCGGGAGCTGTTACACCGGTCTTGCCAGACTACTTGTTTAGAGAAAACTAAACTTGTGGAATTGTTCAGAACTCGGTTTTTTATTCCAAAACTCTACAAACTGACCACCTCTTTGAGCTCCAGATGCCCACAGTGATTGTTAGTCAACTCAGCCAAGAGCTGTATGCTGGAGACCACCCAACATTAAAAAATTGTTCCCAGGAGAACATTAAAAAGTAGACTTCATGGCATGGTAAAGCCTGATTTATAGGGGTACTGCTATCTCTTGGTATTAATAAACACTTTTACTGGCTGGGAAGAGGCTTTCCCTACTAAGTCTGAGTCAGCCTTAGTGGTAGTTAAAAGGCTATTGCATGAGATCATACCTTGATTTGGCCTCCCACTAGCAATGGGGTCGGATAATGGCCTGGCTTTCATAGCCCGAGTCACCCAAAAGTTAGCCCAGGCATTAAAAATTAATTAAAACTCCACTGTGCCTATCAGCCACAAAGCTCAGGGCAAGTAGAACGTATAAACCAAAGTCTCAAGGACATTTTAGCTAAGCTGTCTTCAGAAACTGGTGATAATTGGGTGAGCCTTCTTCCCTTTGCACTAAGAGCTAGATGTACCCCATATGTTTCTGGAATCTCCCCCATTGAAGTCATGATCGGGAGGCCCCTGCCATTGGTTCCAAGATTGCCAGAAAATAAACTAGCTAAAATAACTAATCAAGATCTCATTAAGTCCCGGCAGACTCTCCAACTCGTGTTGACTTCAATCCACCAGCTGTGTAGACTAGACAAAAACACCCGGATCTGCCTTCAGAGACACCTCTCAAGGTGCCGATCAAGCCAGGGACTCCAGTCTTGGTGCAATGTCACCACTGTGACTCCCTCGAACCCCGCTGGGAAGGACCTTTCACCATGGTGCTCAGTACCCCCACTGCCATCAAGGTAGCAGGAAAAACTGCGTGGATTCACTACACTCACGTAAAGCCACTGGAAACAGCGGACAACGAGGGACATACTCAGTGGACTATACAGCAGACTGGTAACCCCTTAAAGTTAAAATTGACTAAGGCATAGTTAGATTATGCTGGTCATGAACTGTTTTAGCTTGCTTGCTTTGATTTTAATAACATTGATGCCGACCTTGCACAGTGGCTTTGGTCCCCCTGTAAGCAAAGAACAATTGTTAAGATCTTTATGTGGGAGCTCCTGTGATTCTGGAGGGGGCTATATTACTAAAGGTAAAGACACCAACTGGGGGGAATTATATATACAATAGGAAACAAGGATCAAGATCCTTCCCACACAAATGATAAATTGTATACATACATTCTTCGAACAGATTTGTGGGGACAAGTTAACATTCCTTGTTGCTATACCCTCAGTTACAGGAGGTTTGACTAAAAGGTGGATGTAAATGATAAAGCCCTATGTGATACCTAAAAAAGGCAGCCAGTGAGGGCTGAGCTGCTGAGCTTATGAGGACAAGGACTGAAAGAATTAAAGGTGATTGGTCGACAAATCCGACAGTGATAGGAAGTTCAAAGTATGCCCAAGCCTCATGTGTCAACATGGTTGATAAATCAGTGTGCTGGAGCAGGGTGGCCCTATACATGTGTCTGATAGGGGCGGGCCACAAGATAAGATCAAAAAACTCTGGTGGTTGAGAAACAAGTCAACTGCTAATGAAAATAAGCTGCCTAAATCGCGGGGAGTTGGTCTAGATGCTCAAACTTATGATATTCTAGAGGCCACTCATAAAGCCTTAAATGCTTCCAACCCAACTTTGGCTGAAGAATTGCTGGTTATGCATGGCACAGGGCTCCTCCATGCCCCTTGCCATCCCCAACAGTGTTTCTCTGGCTACACTGGAGAAACAAGATTACTTAAATTGTAGTGCTGGTCCCCCCTTTAGAGTACAACCAGTAGACTTCAAGGACTCTCTCTGTCTCCAAGGAGGTTTTCATAACGATACCTCCAACATTGACGTGGAGTTCGTTACATTTACTAATTGTAGTTCCATAGTTAACCGGACTACCTCCTTTATCCTGCCAAAGGACAAGTATTTATTTGTGGAGGAATGGCCTATACTTTCCTCCCAACTAACTGGACAGGGATATGTGTAACAGCTGTCCTGTTGCCTGATACAGAGATCCTACCGGGGGATGAGCCTGTCCCCATTCCTAGTTTAGATTACATCACAGGCCACTCAAAGAGGGCAATTCAATTTATTCCTTATTGATAGGCTTAGAGATATCAGGAGCCTTAGGTATGGAGGCAACAGGAGTAGGAGTTTCTGTCCAACCTTCCAACCAGATTGTTAGTGATGTACAGACATTATCTAGTACCATTCAGGTCATTCAAGACCAAATAGACTTGTCAACTAAAGTAGTTCTCCAAAACAGGAGGGGACTAGACCTACTCCTCCTAAAGGAAGGCGGCCTATGTGCCGCTCTAAAAGAAGAGTGCTGTTTTTATGTTGACCATTCAGGCATAGTAAAAGACGCCATGTCCAAACTCCTAATCTTAATTAGAGCCTTCTACCTTGACTACCTGAATGCTGGAGGCTACAAGTCACAAATCTTGGAGGGGACAGTGCCCATGTGACACAGTTCTGGCCGATAAAACAAGCAAAAATGTAGAGTTTCCTGACAAATCTTTGTTTTCTAATTGAATTATCATTCCTTTCCTGCTTGAAACTGATACTTAAAAAGGGGTGAAGCAGTCATGTTGAGGCCATGAGCTGAGGAACACCAGGAAAGAGGCTGATTGGAAAGGTAGCAGGAGCCTTTTGTCATCATTCAGAGGCTAAAATATTTAAGCCAGTTTTAGAATTTTATGTTTTCTAAAGAAAACAGAATTCTGAATGATACATATGTATAAACAGTAATTTTTTAAATATGAAAAGTATGCTAAGCTACAATGATCAGTTTCTCATGACATTTAGATAGATTTTGGTAACAGCATTAGGTTTCTAAAGGTACTGATTATTTGAGTGTTTATGGTAGACGAATAACCAGAAATTATCTTTTACTACTTTAAAAGTGGTCACATCATCAGAAGCAATAAATATAAATTCTGGTGCTAGGAGCCTGCCTCCGTGATTTTTTTTTTTTTTTTGGTAGGGGTGTATGGCACATGGGCATGGGGTAGGGTAGGGCCTAAAGATGAGCCTTCTGGGTCTGATGGTGCCCCTTTCTGGTCTCTGAGCTTTAACTTGCCTGTGCATTGTCCTCATTTTTGTGTGTTGAAAGCTTCATTTTTAGACAGCATCCTTCCTGACATTGTGCAAGGTGACTTATGGTCTCTTAGGTTTTATTTTTGTCTATTAGAGGCTAGATCTGAGAGTAGCACTCATTCTGAAAACACTCAAGTTTGTATGTTCTCACCTAAATTAAATTGAATTTTAAGTCCACTTTGATTGTTTGCAATTTCAATTACAGAAAAATTTTTAAAAATCTATCAGGAAAGACCAATGTTTGTGGCTTTATACATATAGAGTCTGATTGTTAAGATCTATGAAAGTCTTTTGGTCCATTTTATATAACTAGTGGTAGGCATTGTACTAAATTGTGTTATTTTAGCTGGTTAAAGTGTCATTTTATGATAATTTTAAGTTAACAGCACTAAAAAGCAATAATATAATAAGACTAATAAAAACAACAAAAGACTTGCTTAAAAGTATTATTAAACAGAAACAGTAATGCAAAGAAGTATTTTTACATGAAATGAAAAATCCAAATATTAATATTGATTTCCCATATTCTAATCATCAAGAGAACCAGAAGGAAGCAACAAAGAAATATCATCTTGAATGTGTATGAACATGCTATGAGGTACACAGGATTAACTTCATCTCAGCATGAGTTTGCAATAAATCTTCTAGTACAGCCAACTTGGCAACATTTCTCACTCACTGTCATATCAAGCTGTTCGTTTTTTGGTGAATAAATATTCAAGTTGAAATCTTTTAATAATGAATGGCTGTTGTCTTCTGCTTCTTCTTGTCTACCACGAATAATTTTATTAAGTTCTTTAACGGCAACATTTGAATTCTTTAATGCAGGTACATATTGTTGTAGCTGTGGTGATGATGGCTGTTTCTCAGGCAGCATTGCCCTCAGCTCTTCTGGCAAATTAGCAATGGATTCCAACATATTTAGGGAGTCTACCTCTTTGTTGATAGAGGATGGCATGATTTCTGTTGAGTTAAAAATGGGAAGAGGGAAAAAAATATTTGTGTCAAGAAACACCAGGAAAGCTACAAATAGCCAAAAGGAAAGCATTAGTTAGCTCAATAAAATTAAACATTGAAAACAGAATCAGCAAGTGTCCTAATGTCTAAATAACTTAGATTACTTATAATTGGTCAGAATAAAGTATTATAATCTTTTCAAGGTTCAGTTTTACTCTGTTTAGTCATCTGTCATGTCTCTATATCCCCTTATTGCTTTGTATCATAATACTTTTTACTCATTGACGATGCTCTCTTATCCTTCTGAGGTCCTTTTGGTCATACAAACTCTTTGTCTGCAAATGGATTTCTATCTAAGTAATTTTCTTTATGACTAAGAAACTTCTGTGTTATAATAGTAACTGTTGAAAAGGCTTTTTAATTAGTTTAAGCTACCAAATGTTCCATGGTGCAAGATAACTGACTTCAGAATAAAAGGCCAAATTTCCATGACTTCTCATTAATCAGCAGGAGCTTCAAGTCTCTGACATCCTTTAAACATCTAGTAAGCTCTTTTCCCCACGGTATTTGTTCCATGACAATAGTATTTTATATTAAAGAGAGAAATAGGTTAAAAGAATACTGACCAAAAATCATGGACTTTCAGAAGAAATTAGAATCTTCTGTGGTGTGTTTACATTAACTAGTGTACTATGTATGGTATATGTTCCAGGACTATGCTGGTTAATATCAAGGTTAGAAACTGGGTTTGGAACCTGCTGGATCAGCTGACATCTTTGTTTTTCTTCATATTCATTCAGTTTAGTTGAATGTCTGACACTGCCAATAGGAGACTGAAGTAAAAGAAAAGATTTCCTGCCCTCAAAAAACCGGTCAGTCATATAAACTGTCTCCTAGCCTTCCTCTCCCAATTAACACTGTTTGAGAGTTAGCACACACAAAAATTAGGAACACAGATGAAATTTAAATTATAGGGTAGACCTGGACTGGTTCTTGCTGCTCTTCTTCCTGGACAGCAAACTGTCAACTTATTGTTAATGCATTGTTACTCTTGAAATAATGTAAGCATGCTGATTAAATATATAAGTAAATGTGAATGAAGAAAGATTCTTCAGATAAAACTGTTTCTTACCTAGGCAGGGGTGATCCTGGGGCTGGTCTATTTCCTAATGAGTCTTGCAGCAAGAATTTTAGCCAACTACAAATTTCAATAGTTGGAATTTGGCAAAGTAATAATAGTAATAATATGCTATCACTTGTCTTTTCTGCTAATAATTTATCTCATTCATGTTCTACACTAGCAATGACAGATGAGATTTTATGTCATTTTTAGTTAGGTCAGAAGTTCTGGCATTTCCCTCAATCAGACAAAGTTTGACTTCCCCTGGTTATTATAATCTTCTCCTTGCCCTTAATCTTTCTCTATTTGGGAATTTATTGAATGCTGAGAAAAGCTGATGTTAACTTTCTATACGCTGAAAGCCAGTAAACAAATTAAACAAAACAGGTGTAGCTTGTGTTAAGTTTATTCATGAACTGTGTGTTTTGAAGTCTTTTATTTTTAAACTTGGTTTGAAACATTTTGTTATCTACATCACTTATGATTTATGGATTCTAGACTCAATATTCTACCTGAATTCATAAAAACACATATCTCTTAGTCACTGTACTTTTGACTCAGATTTCTGCATATAGGTCTTTTCTAATTAAAACTACTCTTTTAAAAAGGATAGAGTGAGTGCTATTGTGGGACACTTGATGGGTAAAAAATAATATAAAAGCAAATTTAATACTGTATAACAATAAAAGAATAAAATCTCATTTGAATCACAAATTACTGACATATTTCTAGTAAATCCATATATACAGGCAGTTTTTGTTAGGCTATTTCTAATTAAATTTTGTATTAGGTAGCAATATAAAAATTATTTTCAAATATTTTTAAAATCATAGGTCTCTTCTAAGAAAGTAGAAATTTGGCCAGATATCTGCACATGAATGTGTTCAGCAAACCATTTTCAATAGCAGTTTGAAAATAATCTAAATGTCTAACAGTGTTTCAACATACAGTCAACATGTGTCACTTAAAAAAGGGCAAATGTTCTGAGAAATGTGCTGTTATTTTATTTAGTCACTGTGCAAACAATTCGAGTATATTTACTTAGTTCTAGACAGTAAAGTTCAACTATGTGACAGGGTCTCTGGAAGCAATCAAGAGATGTGGTAAACAAGAGATGCATGAGGGCTACTGCCAGCATAACACAGCATCCTGTTTTACAGTATACTTCTTTTTTAGAAAAATAATAAATACATCCTAAAATAACAAAAATATAGTAAATATATAAACTAGTAATAGATATTTATCATTGCTATCAAGGATTATGTGCTGCACATAATTATATTGCCATTCTTTTGTACAGCTGACAGTGAGGTAGATTTGTATACATCAGCATTACCTCAAACATGAGAGTATGGTATTTTACTATACCTATATCAGTAGGTAATAGGAAATTTCAGCTCAGTATAATCTTATGAAATAAGCATTATAAATGCAATCGTTCATTGACCTAAATGTTATGTGGCACATAAGATTATGTGGCAATTAGGTTTTGGAGAATAAAATGGTGAAAAATGCTCACAGCATAATGCAAAGTGAAAATGTGAAAGATATACATACTTATATTCAAATGTTAACATTTGTTTTGTTATTGAATATATTTTATTTTCTCATTATATTCACATGTATTTTTCAAAGGGTTTAATATATATTGGTGCTTTTCATTTTCTTACTGTCTATGTACATTTTCATTTCATATGAGTAGCAAATGCAATACAATGTAGTCTTTTCTAGTGTGTTAGACAGTTCCTAGACTGGTATTCTATTAAATTTATGTAAGAAGTATATAAAAACTTCTTAAGTATTAAGCATTAAGCATTAATTAAGCATTAAGTAAATCAGTATCTGACAATGAAGAAAAATAGTCAATAACTTTAAAATCATACTTTAGATCTTTTGAAAGACAAGTTAAATGTATGTGTTGTGCACAGTAATTTTGCATGTCACTTATGTATAGTATATAACCTATAAATTTAATTGTGGTTTATCAAATTATATATATATGATATGAATGTCTTAAATATTGGTGATTGACCTTGCCTTCTCTGAATTTAATTACACTAGCCTATACCTCTGGATTTTCACTGCGACTTTAACTTAGCTTCCAAATTATCTTTATAAGTGCTTTGTAACTAACGAAAGTACTTTTAAAGTCATTCCAAATTTGAGCTGTGCTCATTTCTGAGATCTTGCTTTAAAAATATATCTGTGGAGTTCCCAAAACTTGAAAGCATCAATGAAGTTTCCAAAACTTGAAAGATCTTCAGCTGTGATTGTCTTAAGTGCAAGGTTCCCTTCTCTCTGATCCCCTTCAATTTTCTCTTGGATTCTCCTGACACTTTGTTTCTCATCCATTTCCCACCTGACCTCACCCAAGTTCTACCCTGATCCTTCAGATGAACTAAAAGACCCAATTCATCCAAGAAGTCAGAGGTGAGTTTAAAAAGGGTGTGTGCAGGGGCAGGTGGGGTTCTTCATGGAATAGGCTACATGGAGTAGAGGAGTCCCTTCCAGACTCCTATTTCAGGACCCCATAGAGGTCTGCTGCAGCATGCCCTTGAGCACACAAACAGGCTTGATAGCTAGCTTGCTACCTCACTTTCTGCCCCTTCTTCTCAACTAGAGATACTCCCTCCAAGTGCCCAGATGCCACCACACCAACTAGCTGGCCTACTCAGCTTTTCCTCACAAACTCAGGAGTGCACCTGTCACCAAAATTTTGACAGAATCACCTCTTCTGGGGCTTCTACCTTGTTCAGACATGGCTGACCTGATAGGAAGAATACCATGCAATTCTGGGGTGAGGCTCTTTGCCAAACCTGCTGCATAAGCCACCATTTTGATTAGTTGTTGGTGTGAAGCAACCAGTGAGAAGTACGGAATGGCAGGGTTGGGGTGGTGGTGCAAGCTCTCACCTGCGGATTGTCCAGATCCCAGAATGCGCTGTTTCTCTTGGCCGGTAGTCATATCTCCCAACAGAATCTTGCCACAAATATCTATCTTGATTCGGACTAAATCACGTCCACATACCTTAATAACTTTGTCCAAAAACCCAGGAGATACAGTTCCAGAAGCCTGGCTCAGCAGCAGCCAGACTCCTAGGAGGTGGAAAAAGAGGTGCAGCATCCTGGACCTGGTGTCTGTTGCTTTGGAGATTGCCTCTGCTATGTGCTGCTAAGCTATACCTGTGTGTCCACCCTAGACTTCAGGTTGCTTTTTCCACCAGGCCCAGCCAGGCTTTTATACCCTTTGGGCTATCACTCAGCTCTTAAAGTCAGTGGTTCTAGCTCCACCCTTTCCCATTTACTTCATGGAATTTTCTTCTGCAGCTCTTGTTCATCACCTTCCCCATCTTTCCTTCTTTACCTATCATTCCGTCCTTGGCCTTCTTACTAATGTTTTTCTTTTGTGCTCAAACCATCTTGTATACTGAAATTTTTCTTTCCTTTATGATACAGTGAATTATGATCATTACACTAAAAATCAACAAAAATAAACATGACATCTTCTTACATCCCAAACTTTTCCAGCATGAATATTTGCCACATAAGCTTCAAATCTAACTAAGATTATAGTTAAATAATACAGTGCATGATATATCCTTAGGAAATAAAATTAGTGAATGGATAAATTATTGGCAAGAAGGGAAATGCATGACTTTTAATCTGAATCCTAGGAAAAGCATTAAAGTTCTGAGCAACCACACTGTCAGCTTGCACAGTAATTTGTTAAAAAACACAACACACTTTCTCTGTTGGATCTTCCTTCTGCTCCTTTGTGAGGCAGTTTGATTATAACCAGTTAACTAAGTATTTTAATTTGATATTATGTTCTACATGTGTAGATACTGCAGAAGAAAGAAGAAAAAAAGAAACAGAAAAGCCCCCCACAATCCTAGAAAAAATATTTACTCTACTGCTATAGCACAAAAATTATATGCTCATAGTTTTTACTGTGATCTATGTTTGCTGTATGTGAGAAGTGATTTCTAACTTAATCACCTTCTAATTTAACTTTAAAAAATCAAGTTTGATGTAATATTTATGCCCATTAAGCAAACTTTCATATTTTTCAATAATTTATTTGCTTATGTTCATAATCTTAGATTATCTCAGTTGAAAATAGAGCTATTGAATAAAATAATTCTGATTTCTACATTGATGATATTTCAACAGAGTGCAGTCAGCATTAGTCAAATATGAGGTACTGCATAATTTTTTAAAAATAAATAAATAGATAACCTGAGCAAAGCTGTGGTTTGGTAAGAGGCATTATTTTTAAAGTGATTTTTACTAAGAGAATCAGTTTAAACAGTTTCTCAACACTGAGATTTAAAGATATTTTTGTGTTAAAAGTTATTAAAACTCCAGTTTCAAGAATTCTTCCAAAATTATTGCTTACTGAAAACTAAATTTGTAGGGATGTTTTAATTTCTTATTTTGCCTGTGTTTATTCTCACAAGTATCCAGTAAAGTGGCCATTTTGACATTTTGCAGAGGGAGAAAACAAAGTGAGAGTATTTATCTTGTGTAATGCAACTTTAGCTAGCATACACATGTGCCAGATATGGGCTTACCTCACTGTTAGTGGTCACAGCAAAGGCAGCATTCAAAGACTTTGTAGGCACAAATCAAAGAGATTTCTTCTTAAAAAATAAAACAAGTAAATAAACAAAAATCTTTTTTAGAGAGAAATAATAAGTGTATCCATGCATACACCTGACAAGTGCTGGAGCTGGAATTCCACTCCATGTTAAGGAGATGCCAAAGCTCCCATTCTCTGGCAACATTATATTCCTTGAATCCTGTTCTAATTGGAGTTATTTGAAATAATGAAGGTTAATACATACAAATCAGTGTCCTTGAAAAAGTCACTGAAGACACAAAAGCTTTGACTCTTGAGGCTTGTAATGTGCTACTTGTGATTTCTCAATATCTTTTCTAATAGCAGTATTCATATGACACAGTTTTTCTGGCCAATACAACCTAAAAACACCTATGGAATTTCCTGGCAAAGGTTTTGTTTTCCTAATTCAAGCACTAAGAATTCTTGTTTCCCTACCTTTCCTAACTGAAACAGACACTGAAAAAAAGATGAAGTGCCATTTTTGAGCCATGATGTAGGAAACAACAGGAGAAAGGCTTATATGCTAATTGTAGCTCACTGGAAAAATGAGAGGAGCCTACCGAGACCATTGAGAGGCTAATGCTGTGTATGTTAGATGCTTATTCATTAGGCCCTTATCAGTCACTCTTTTAGGATTTTCGAGGGAGAATGAAAGCGAGAGGGAGGGAGAGAAGAAGGAAGAGAGAAAGAAGACTTTAAGTTCTTTTTAATCTTTTACTAACATGTAGTAATTGCATATAGTAATGTGGTATAGTGTGACATGTCCACACATGCATCCAGCATACATAGATCAAACCAGAGTAATTAGCATTTCCCTCTCCATATCATTTATGTGTAGACTTTGAACTCCTCGTCTGGATCCTCATAAAATATGTTAGTAGATTATTGCGAACTATAGTCACTCCACTGTGTTACGGAATACCACAACTTATTCCGTTTACCCAACTGTGTTTTGCTACCAGTTACCTAACCTCCCTTTATCCTCTGCTCCACTTTACAGCCTCTAACATTCACTGTTCCGATCAATCACAAATTCAGATCACCCATTTTTTTGTTCACACACATAAGAGAAAACACATGGTAACTGTTTTTCTGTAGCTGGCTTATTTCACTTAATATAATGTCCTCCACTTCTATCCATTGTGCTACAGTGACAGGATTTCTTTCTTCTTTAGACCTAGATAATATTCTTTGTGTATATGCAACAGCTTCCTGACCCATTCATTCATGGGCATGTAGGTTCATTCCATAACATGGTTACTATGAACAGTGCTACAGTAGACATGGGTGTGCATGTATTTCTTTTCTTATGCTAATTTTATTTCCTTTGGCTACATTCACAGTGTAGGATAGCTGAATCGTATGCTACATGTATTTTTAGTTTTTCTGAGGAACCTCCATAATGTTCTACATAATGAGTATAATAATTCACATTCCCATCAGCAATTTCTCCTTTTCTAACATTGCTGCCAAAATTTGTCATTATTTTATCTTTTGATAATAGCCATTCTCACTGAAGTGAAATATTATCTTATTGTGTTTTTATATGCATATCCCTGATAGCTAATGATACTTTCAATTTGTTGGCCATTTATATTTTTTCTCTAAAGAAAATGTTTATGAAGTTCATTTGTAAGTATTTTTTATTTTATTAGTACATGTTTGCAATTTGTATAGTTTATAATCATCTTGGGGAGTAGTTACATGTATATATAATAACTTATTTTTTAAAATCCCTTTCCCTTTCCCCTTCCCTCTCCCTCCTCCCTCCTCTTCAGGTTTCCCTAACACCTTTTTCATATGTGTTGACATTATTTGTCTTAGCTCATGTTATGGAATATGATGTTTACATTAATTGAGGTTATTAGGTTCTTGTACGTGGCACATCTTTATTTCTCCCATTTCCACTCCTCCTCCCCCTTGCCTTTGTTCCCTTGAACTACTTCCCTATTGCAAGAAATCTGTCCCCTTGTCCCTTTGTTTCTCTCCTTTATCATTTTCTTTGTACTTTGCCTCACTCAAGAGAGATAAGATATAATATTTAAACTTATGTGTCTGGTTTATTTCATTCAACGTATTTTCCAGGTTTGTAGATAATTTTTAATCATATTTTTTCATTTTTGTTTTTAGTTCCTTATATATTCTGGCTATTACTTTCCTGCCAAAAAGGTACTTTGCAAATATTTTCTCCCATCCTGTAGGTTTTCTCTTCACTCTATTGACTGTTTCTTTTTCTGTATAGAAGACTTTTAGTTTGATATAATTCTACTTGTCAATTTTTGCTTTTGTTTCCTGCATTTTTTGAGTGACTTAAAAATCATTGTCTATCCTGATGTTTTCAGGTGTTTTCTTATGTTATTTTCTTATTATGTTTTCTTCTAGTAGAGTTCCAGCTCTTTTAGGTCTTTCGAGTTGATCATTTTGAGTTGATTTTTGTACAGGATGAAAGATGAATGTCAAGTTTCCATATCCTGCATGTGGCTATACGGGTTTTTCACCCCATTTTTTGAAAAGACAATCCTTTCTCTAATGCTGTTGACACCTTTATTGTGACTTACTCACTGTAGTTACATGGGTTTATTTCTGAGGGATCACTTCTGTTCAATTAATCTATTTGTTTTTATGCCAGTTTTCAGGCTGTTTGATTACTATCATTCTGTAGTGTGACTTGAAGCTAGGTATTGTGATGGTTCTAGATTTTTTTTATTCAAGATTACTTTGACTATTTGTGTTTCCATATAAATTTTAGGGTTGCTTTTTGTACTTCTGAGAAGCATGCTGTTGGTCTTCTGATAAGTATTACACTAAATTTGTAAATCACTTTTGGAAGTATGGACATTTTTGATTATTTGAAATCTTAGAAGTAGTTTATTGTTACATGAGGTAGTTGCCCAGATACCTATGGCTCCTATGCCTACTATACTGCATCTATAGCATTGTGGTGTGTACTGTATGATCAGCTGTCAGAAGACAAGAAGATTAAGGCCTAGTTTACGATTGGCTCTGCACATATTACAGGCACCACCTACAAGTGGCAGCACTGTAGCCCATTTCTGGGACATCCCTGAAGAACAGTGATGAAGGGAAATCGTCCTAGTGGGCAGAATTTCTGGCAGTGCATGTAGTAGTACATTTTGCCTGGCAGGAGAAATGGCCAGACTTGGACTGTATACTGATTCATGGGCTATAGCCAATGGTCTGACTGGATGGGCAGGAACTTGGAAAGAACACAATTGGAAAATTGGTGATAGATATTTGGGGCAGAGGGATGTGGGTAGACCCCTCTATGTGGGCAGAGGATGTAAAAATAAACATTTGCTTCCCATGTAAATGCTCGCCAAAAGGTGACAGCAGCAGGAAGAGGACTTCAATAATCAAGTAGATAAGGAGACTTGTTTTATGGATAGTGGTCAACCTTCTTTGGCCATCCCAGTCATTGTCCAATGCACCTATGAACAGAGTGGCCATGGTGGTAGGGATGGAAGTTATAAATGGGCTCG